GGGGGGGGGGGGGGAATTCTTAGAATCGTTCTGGGGAGGACCCAGAGACCCCTGGTTTCAATTTTGCAGCAGATGGTCTTGACCTTCTGGCCCTACCAAATGAAAGTTGAGCGCCAGATCATTTTATTTACCAGAACAACCACTGGAGTGCCCGGCGCGTATCTGGGAGACCCGGGTTCGATTCCCGGCTGGGTGAAGCGGAAATTTTTTCTCTCTAAATTCTAATTCTCTTAGAATTCTTTAATGCCTAAAGGAGGTTAGGCGGTGTATGAGGTGAATTTGAGAGTGAATTTCTGTGGTTCCCGGTAGCTTAGTCGGTAAGAGTGCCCGGCGCGTATCTGGGAGACCCGGGTTCGATTCCCGGCTGGGTGAAGCGGAAATTTTTTCTCTCTAAATTCTAATTCTCTTAGAATTTTTTTTTTTTTTTTGAAAGCTTTTGAAAGTCTTCCGCATCTACTTTCTTGTGAAAGTCATGAGTTAACGTCCATTTTTATCCCAGCCACCTTACAAATACTCTTGAGGATATGAGAATAATTTTCAAGACAATCCAAAAATATCAACATTTATTAATACAAAATAACCATTCAAAGTAAAAAAAATCTTAAAACTATCCACGATGTACACAAAATCAAGCTGCAACATCCACTCATCAATCATCACAGATACATTCATCACTCCAGCCCTCTCAGCCCAATCGTCCCCTCATTTCCCCCCTCGAGCAACAGCACATTCTCGTTCCCCAGCTCCTCCTGATAGAACATCGAGGGTAATTCCTCCCCCAGAAGTAGGCCCTCCCCGATGTCTCCACCCCCGAGAACAACATCACTCGGTCCCACCGAGTTCAATCCCGAGCTCCTCCTCTTCATCCTCCAGACATCATCACAAGTCAACCCAGTCCTGGCAGCCCCCTGGCCCCTTCTGCCCCTCGCAACGTTCCCCACAATCTTCGGTGGTGGTTCAGGCTCGGGTTCTGCTCCCTCCTCCCCCTCCCCTCCCACCCCATCCTGACCCTCGCACTCGTAGAAAACGTAATCGAGATCCGATGAAGCCACGAGGCCATTCTGCCCCTCATCGCGATCCCTCAACAGCTTCGAAGGGCAGACCCTTTTGCAGACATCATCACCCTCAACCCTCATCCTGCCGACGTTCTGGGGAGGACCCAGAGTCCCCTGGAGATGCCCCTCAGGGGCTGAGGCCTCCAGTTTCACCGACAACTCCTCGCAGATTGTCTTGACACTCTCCGAGTCCTCAATCCTCCTCTCCATCAAGCCTATCCTCGCCCTGGCATTCTGGACACTTCCGTTGTTCTCCCTGTTCTGGTGCTTCTTTATGTGAACGTAGAGACTGCTCTTCGCGGAGAAGCTCGCGTCGCACATGTAGCACTGGAAGAATCTTCCCTCCTTATGTGTCAGCCTGTGCTCCTTGAGGTGCTCAGACCGCATGAAGGCCTTGCTGCAGCCGGGGAATTCGCACAGGAATTTCCTCTCGTTCGTGTGCTTCTTCTCGTGACGCTTGAGTTTACTTGATGATGAAAATGCCCATCCGCATCCTGGGTAGGTGCAGGAGTAGGGCTTCGAGCCAGTGTGACACCTGACGTGGGCCTTCAGGCGGCAGGGCTTATCGAATACCTGTGGGATAAATAATTTATGTCATGCGTGCGTGTAAAGTACAGGTTAACACGGGCGTTTGGAGGTCGGTAAGTCGAATTTTACACGCACCACCAATCGTTCTTCACTTAACAGACGTTCCCAGTTTTACACGCGTCCTATGCTATTTTACTGGTATTTTACACGTTCTCAATAACCCCTAGCGACATCTTGCGGTACAAACATAACCCATTATCCCAACCATACACCGATCAGCTGATCCATTAGACACTATTTAACGAAACAAATCGCAGTGCAAAAAGCTAAAAAATAAACTACATAATAATAAATAATTAACTCAAAAAGTGAAATATGAATACACAAGAAAATATGTTTAGTGAATACGATGAAATACTAACAGATAATATACTTCGAAACGCTCAGGAAGCAGAGAAATGCTATCAAGAAAAAGCCAACTTTGAAAGAAAAAAGAAAATGAGTATTTTTTCTAAATATTAGAGAATAATTTTTTTTGCGCGATTTTTCTCCCCCCCCCCCCCCCTGAAAAAAATGAGGAAAATTTGTTGATTTTTCATTATTTTTTTATTAGTATGAAGAATTAATAAACAAATTATTATTATTATTATTATTATTATTATCATTACTCATATTTTTTTGTCAGATAGATTGAAATATTTGAACAATTATTAAAAATCAACAAACTTTCCTCATATTTTCTTCAGGGTGGGGGGGAGAAGAAAAATCGCGCAAAATAAATTATTCTCTAATATTTAGAAAAAATACTCATTTTCTTTTTTCTTTCAAAGTTGGCTTTTTCTTGATAGCATTTCTCTGCTTCCTGAGCGTTTCGAAGTATATTATCTGTTAGTATTTCATCGTATTCACTAAACATATCTTCTTGTGTNTCCCCACAGACGCACTGATGACATAAAATGCATTACAAAATCGCTTTTTTTAATTTTCTTGCTGACCATCTCTGCCTGCATTTTTCTCATTTCCTCTCAATGAAATCAGATCATGAAAACGAAAAATATTAATCTTCCTACATTATTGAAGGAAACAAACTCAATTGGAAAATTTTTCGGAGACGTTGCACAATTGATATTTTTATTTTCTTGCTGATCATCTTTGCATTTTCCTTATTCCGTTCGATTGAGATGAGATTAAAGAGATGAAAAATTTTCATATCCGTTGACATTAAAAAAAAAAATGATACGTCTTGATTTAAGGAAAAAAAATATGATCAATTCCAAAATTTGATGGGTACATTGAAAAATGTCAACGGACAGACATTAGAAAGAGTAGGTGTTTATCTTAAAAGTAACGTATTCAGTAATGGTCAGTTAACTATTTTAAAATTTCGATTAATATATTTAAACTTTGATCAATGCAAGTCGGAAATTCTTTTGATATTGAAGAATTAGAAGATCGATGGCCATCACAAAAATCAATACCGACCTTGCCGCAACCCAACCAGCCGCACTTGATGTCGACTTCCTTGTAGCTGTGGCACCTCTGGTGCGAGGTCAGGGCGTTGGAGCTGTAGTAGCGCTTGCCGCAGCCCTCGTGACTGCAGACGTAGGGCGCGTGCTCTTGGTCGTGGGACTTCATGTGGATCTCAAGGGCTCTTTTCGTCTGGAAGCGTTCGAGACAGTTGGGGACGAGGCAGGCGATACGGTTGGGACGAGAGTGCAGCTTCTCGTGGGTCCAGAGGTTGTACACTGTCGTGAACCGACGGTTGCAGACCTGGCAGACGTAGTCTTTGCGTTTTAGGTGCGTTTCCTTGTGGCGTTTTAACTTGAAGTCCGAGTGGAACGCCCAGGCGCAGCCCTCGTAGTCACACTGCAAGCAGAGATCGGCACTGATATTATTTTCACCAATATTTGCAACGCAAATACATATTTTTTGCTTAATCACCAATAACTTGTAGATATTTTTCATTATATCGTCGCATTAAAATCAAAGGGGCGTAAGTGCCATTTCTCTGAGATTTTTTTTCTCTTAATACCAAAGGGGCGTATGTTTTTTTTTCCCTTCGAAATGGAGTTTTCTCAACTTATGAAAGGTTTTTTGTGGACAAATTTCTGAAGTGGCAAATGGACGTAAGTCCGACTAGCAAGTACTGAAGGGGCGTATCTCCAGCACATACGCCTCTTTCTTTTTATACTTTTTGTTTCTTTTCTAGCTCATATTGAGAATGAATAATTCCAAAGGGGCGTAACTCAGGCACATAGGTCCCTTTGTTTTTGAAGCAATAATCACAGAGGGGCGTAACTCCAATATATATGTCCCTTCATTTGTTACTGTTCGTTCCTATTGATTCATCAAGTATAAACGGAATCACATGCACTACAGCCCTAATAATAAATAATATTTGATTCTACATTAACCTCCCCTCCCTCCGTCTCATCATGAATGTTCAAATAATTTCCCTTTGAGTTTTTGCTAGAATGAAACAATTTCATGAGAAATATCAATAACTAAACTAAAATTTTCTAAAATTTTCTTCTAAATTTATTCGATTTCATTCATTAATTTATTTCATTTTTTTAAATTATGACTGCGAATTTCAGGAAATTATCTGTATGAAATTTCGAGTCGTGACTGCTTTGAACACTTCGGAAGAAAATGAGACCATAAAGGAAGAAGAAAATAGTTAAAGCGTTTTATGTTGATATAACAATATAAAACTCATTATCGCGAGTAGACCTAAGATATAATGAGAGAGAGGCGTATGTGGGACTTACGCCCTTTTCGTTTTATTTCAACATGAAATGTGTCATCCGAAGTGCACAACACATAATGTAAAAAGGGCGTAAGTGTCATTTTTTGAATGAAATGAAAAAGGCGTAAGTGTGGAGATACGCCCCTTTCCCGTTGAAATATAGCAATTACGACTTTTTCCTAGAATTTTTTTTTTTCCGATTTTTGGTCAGAAATTCCATGAAAAATCGAAAAAACAGGAATTCGGAACATACGCCCCTTTCACTTTTAAAATGAGTTTTTTGGCACTTACGCCCCTTTGATTTTAATGCGACGATATTAGGAATGAGTATTGAGAAATTTACATTTTTTCAATACCGTATCAATGAGCAGTAATTAACAATAAAAAAACCTATGATTTGTCTCTAATTACGAATTACGGGATCCGCCAGGGCGGCGGTGGATCATCCCACGTTAAAGTGAATGAAATTCGACGGAAGGTGACGGAACTACCGGTAGCTCAGTGGGTAAAGCACCAGACCGGCAATCTGAAAGTCGCGAGTTCATACGAGGTATTCCGGCATTCCTCATTTTTTTCCGAAATTGATTCACAAATATCATAATTGCCAGATTGGGCAACTTGTCCCCCCCCATACCCCCATCATCCCCAAGGTGGTAGGAGATATTTTCCCCGCACATGATTTCTCTGGACACAATTTCCTTTTTGAATATATGGACAAAGGAAAGACATAAAAAAATTGTCACACAGCAGTTTTGCAGGGAAGTCACAGTCTTTAATAAACAATAAGAATTCACACTTAATAACATGCATCAAACCAATGAACCAATGAACATTGACTCAAACTAATAGCTTAATTATATGAATCCAAATGCTTGCTTGCTTTAATAGTTCATAATATTTGCGATGAAACTCTTCAAACAGTCATTTGTATTTTCCACGTTATAAGTGGGAGTGGGGGAATTTCTTTCGGGGAAATTTTGTCCGGGAAATTCGGTCTCGGGGAAAAGCTTTCTAGATTCCATCCCCAAGCCCTACCCCAAAAGCATCCTCACCTTGAACGGCCTGACCCCGTAGTGCGCCAGCAGATGTCCCTTAAGCGCATACAACCTATTGAACTCCCTCCTGCACTCCTCCTTGGGACAGACCCAAGTCTTTCCATTCTCCGTCACCACGAGGGCCATCGACACCAGCCCCTCCTCAGTGAACCCCAGCTCCTCCAGGGCATTCGTGATGATGACCTCGTGGCTGGTGCCCCCAGCCTCCCTCCAGCACCCAGCCCCATCCATCTTCGGAATATTCGGAAAGTAGCCAGTGGCCTCCATCAACTCCGACGTCTTCCCCTGGTAGATCTGCTCCTCCTTTCCAGTATTGATGACAATCTGCGTCATGTTGGATATCTTATCAGTTGATATTGCCACAACCGCCATTATCCCGTCCTTATTATCAGTCTGAATATCTCCCTCGTCATATTGCAAGCGATTGTCCTCAATCTTGAAGAGTTTCCTTCGTTTTTTCACCACTCCAGGTTCAATTTTCCCTCCAGAACATGAGAAACTCCCTCCTGGGGGGGTAGCCGAGGGTCTGAAGTCCTCGAGGGTCAGGACGTCGTCCTCAGGGCTCATTTCCTCTCGAGGAATTTCGATTTTCTCAGCCTCCTGGGGAGTCGTCAGGGCAAAGTCAGGGATTGGGGGATTTTCGTGGACCTCTGGAGGTGCCTCTTCGGGGTTCGACTCCTCTGGGTCCTGGGGGTAATCCTCGGGCTGACTGCTGGTGGACGGCAGGATCTCACCTGCCACCATCATGTCGTTGTTGGCGAGCGTCAGGGGGTCCAGGTTGTCCAGAGGGAACTCCGGCAGGGTGAAGCCGTCCTTGCAGACCTCCAGGTATTTCTCGTTGTGGAGCTCTTGGAATTGGTCGTAGGGGGGGTCGTACCCCAGGGTCAGCTTTTTGTCGGGGTAGTCGATGTCGATGGACAGGACGTCCTGGTCCTTCTCGAGGAAGGGGGAGGAGAGGTACCTGTCCACTGTCTCCAGCTCTTGTTTCAGGGGGTCCATTGCGGTCGGCGCGTCCGGACGGGTCTTCAGCCATTTCTCGATGTCCTCCACCGTCTTGGGGTGCGGTCTGGGGGCGTCCTTGGGGCGCGGCGACCGCGGGGGGTCTTCATTTCTGGTGGGTTGGACCTGAAAATGTGAATCATTGAGTTTTCAGTATTTTTTTGTGGATTTTTTAAACTTGAAAAGTGAGAAATTTCTATTTCTTGAAAAAAAAATTTGTTCTCTTTTATTCTGAGATAATGTTTGAGAACTAAAAAAATTGTTTTTTTTTTCGTTTAATATTTCTGTTATTAATCAGTATTAATTTGTGTTGGGTTCATTGAGACTGAATTTTAAAAAGAGACACTGGAAACATGAATGATTGAGTTTTCATAATTTTTTTTTGTGGCGAAAGTACTGAAGGGGATTTTTTTACTTAAAGAAGTTCAATACCTGAGAAATTCAAAATTCTTCAAGAAAAATCTTGTACCTCCCTTTGATTCTGAGGTACTTGTTGAGAACTAAATTGTCTAATTTCTCTAAAAATAGTTTTTTAAAAATATTTCTTCTCTTGATGAGTGTTAATTCTTGGGTTAATTATATTAAATTTGGAAAATTGACCCTGGAAACATGAATGATTGGGTTTTCATAATTTTTTTATAGCGAAATTATTGAAGGGGATTTTTTGACTTAAAGATGTTCAATACCTGAGAAATTCAAAATTCTTCAAGAAAAATCTTGTACCTCTCTTTGATTCTGAGGTACTTGTTGAGAACTAAATTGTCTGATTTCTCTAAAAATAGTTTTTTAAAAATATTTCTTCTATTGATGAGTGTTAATTATTGTTGGGTTAATTATATTAAATTTGGAAAATTGACCCTGGACACATGAATGATTGAGTTTTTATAATTTTTTTTTGTGGCGAAATTATTGAAGGGGATTTTTTGACTTAAAGATGTTCAATACCTGAGAAATTCAAAATTCTTCAAGAAAAATCTTGTACCTCTCTTTGATTCTGAGGTACTTGTTGAGAACTAAATTGTCTGATTTCTCTAAAAATAGTTTTTTAAAAATATTTCTTCTATTGATGAGTGTTAATTATTGTTGGGTTAATTATATTAAATTTGGAAAATTGACCCTGGAAACATGAATGGTTGAGATAACCCATATTCTCTCCAAAAAACCCAGACAGAAATGACAAAAGTGAATAGATGTCGAATGTGAAAGAAATTAATTCAATTCAAGAAAGTAAAATGGGCAATGGATAATACAGAGGAGGTTGAGGTAAACCGGACACTTGACTTTTTTTAAATGTTAGTGAGGGGTTAAAATGTTGATAAAATTCATTTTTTTTAAATACAAAGAACAATTATTTCCCTTTGTGAGGAGCCTAAACTGAGCTCAATTGATAAATTTGTTTCTGCGTTATGAATAATTTAAAAAAAGTCTAAAGTGTCCATTTACCCCGCCGTCCCCTACAATGGAAAAAAATAAGCAAAATGCACTTGTTTCAATTTTTTTTTTAATTTTGAGGCCTTTCGTTTTGCCTTAACGAAGACCCCAGTGGCAGAAATTTCAGTGCAGTCTCCCCTCAAGTAATTCGCCAGAATTAACGTCAATTAATACTGAAGGATCAATGAAATTATCGTTTCACGTTGACATGTGGAAGAGCCGATGGCGTTTTGAAGTCGATTGATGTTATTTCAACTCACGTGATATCCATTCCAGCCTCGAGAAGCGATGATCATGGACTCAACCTCCCCCAAGTCGCAATTTCTCTCTTTATTGTCGGAAATCCAGAGGTTTGTTGATGCCAGTTGCACGTTTCGTTGACAATCGTTGGTGGCGAGTGTCGCCTGAGGCTCAATGGCAAACCAATTGCCCTCCGGACACTGGGATTTCGATATTATGAGGGCCCGAGGCGAGTGTGGTCTTCTACCGAGTATTTCACTGTCATTAGACATCTGGGGAGCTTTTTGAGGGCTCTAATTCCTTCGTTCACGGGTTAGATTCACTACATTGTAATGACAAAGCCGCCATTTAGGTGTTTGAAGTAACGTTCATAACCTTTTTTCCGAGGGGAATGCGCACGTCTGGGGGAGAGGGAGCCGGAGCTGCTAGGGTGATGCCGCCATTTTTATCACTAGATTCGTGCCGCTAAGATTCAAATTTCATGTAAAATAATTGGGATTTTTTCGAGGGGAGATTGCACGTCGTAGAAATTTTTTTTGAAAGAGATTACAATTCAGTGGAGAAGTGGTCAAACGGTTTAAGTCAGTTGAGTCTTTAGTTGAGTTTTTCAGAAGTATTTCAGAATTTAAGGGAGATGGCGAAATTTTTATAATAACCTTGTTTGGTGAGGAACTAGGCTTAGGGTGGATGTGGGACAAAATGTGGAGGGAAATGCTGGAAAATTAACGTTGAGACGAATTATAAAAATTCCCGTTTTATTCGTGGAAGCGAACCACGTCGTTAAATAACTTCTTTGTACACTCTTTGGTATTAAATTTCACTGTTGAGTGTCTTAAAATCACTGCTGATTGTCTGCAATTTTAATAAAGTTTAATCACTGATAATAGTTGAATTTAGACTGGTAAAACTGAGGTGATGTACTGAACGAAACGTTGATCTTACAAAGACTGGTGATGTACTTTCACGTAAAGCCTCGGTGATTTTTATATTTCCGTGTTCTATATATTTGCAAGTAGGAATACAATTTTTTATGGATTTTTCATTCACGAAGTTTTTGTGTGAAAAAAAAGCTAAAAACGGCGGGGATTCCCCCATTTTGCGACCACTTGAGGGTTAACTTCATTTTATTTTCGGCACTGGAGCGCAGGTGGCGCCTCATATTGAGTCAACTAGGTCCTTTAGGGAGTTATGACGTCATTACCCCCCCCTGCGATCATTTTTAGTAAATTAACAAAATAAAAAATTTGAAATTTTTTACGTATTGAACTTCTGGTAGTCTGGAAAATCCACTTCAACGATTTCGTTACAAAAAAAATTAAGGAAATTTCTCACAAGAAAAACTCTGGGTGAAAATTGACTGATATTTGGGATATTTTTTAATAAACTTTATCGAATTTCTCTAATGGCACTATTACAATTAAAAAATGATATTCTCATTCAATTATTTATCTAACAATCCACATTATTGAGAGATCATCTTGAAACACGTACAAAAATACATATAATGGTAATAATAAAAATCTCAACAATTAAATCAGTAGCAAAGTGTTACAACAGTTTAAGTTGATTTGGAGTATGGTCCGCTTTTCAATGAATATCTCGGAATCTAAAGGAGATAGCAAAATTTCTGTAATGACCTTTTTTGTAGCGCTTAATTCACTCTACAAAAAAGGTAGTGACGAAAATTTCGTTATCTTCCTTAGATTCGAAGATATTCCTCGAGAACTTAGCTAAGGGCTGCGTCTACTTAAATCGTTTTACTGTTTCGCTATTGAAATTTTATATTCACAGCTGCCATCCTTCGTCGACAATTTGAGAGACGACGAACACACTCATCAGTCATGCTCTCACTTATGAGAGAATCGACTACAGTAGCAGCAATCATGGTCTTTGGAGTTCTCTCAGAATCATTAAATCCAGATTTACAACAACGAATGATAAAATAGATGATTTTCAATAACTACGCATAAGAGTCGATGTCATTCGACTCTATCACATCGATATCAAACTTTGCATAAGGCTCCTTCGCAAACAAACTGTTGTCTATCTTCTGACACAGGACTGATCTGTCACGACTGCGGCCACTTCGTATGTCACACAGCAGCTGCTTTCGACAGGTTTCGTCACAAGGTGGACGAGTAGGCGAATCCTTATAATAATACCTGAAAAAGAAAACAGATTATAAAAAACAAGCGGACAATTGCATTTTTTTATAAATGAGTATAGTTATTGTTGCTAGCAAATTAGCAATTTGCTTTCGAATGGTTTCTCCTTTTTTTAAAATTCTTATTTCACTATTCTCTTCTATTTTTTCACGTCACAGTACTATCATCAATTGAAATGTCATCAAAATTTTGCGTATTATTTCGTTCTGTCAAATGATTCTACATTCAGACCCTCTCAAGACTCGAATTCGTTTTCACTCCGGGTTTAAAATCGATTTTTAGAAAATATCAATTTTGTTGAATCTGTATGAAAAATCAAATTTCAATTGGTGTCAATGAATAGAGCTTATTAAAGTCTATATTCGTAAAAAAAAAAATCACGAAATTCGATTGATGCCTCATAAGAAAATTTCGAAAAAAATGAAGAATGGGAATTCCTTCAGTTCCCCAAATTTCTTGAAAACTAACTTTTTTTTTTTTTTTTTTTTTTTT